TTTCCTCATTTCTGATCTAGAGCAGGTTCCCAAGTTTAGGAAAACTAGCAAAAGGACAAAATTTATTAAGAGCTACAAAGGATAAGAAATTATGAAGGGCTATGATCACCCATGTCCTGAAGGGACAAGGCACAAAGAAGACTTTTTTGCGCAAATGTTTCGTATAAGTGGAGAGGGTACTTATATGGTGCTTGGAATTTACCAAAACCCTGGTAATGGTAACATTGTTGTTAGTTTTTGAAAGTTTTTGAATTATGTAAGGATGGAATGGTATGTGTGTTGGCTGAGGTGGGGTTGAGAGGATTTAATTAATTCTTTGTTTGGAATTAGCAACTGAATAAGAAAAAGGAGAAATTGAATTTCATTTCAGGTGGATGGTAATAAACGAAAGAATTGGTTTGATGCAAGAAAAAAAGAAGAAAATAGTTGTTGAGGAATGAGGATGAAGAAAAGTTTTAAAGGATAGGAAAGAGAAGGAAAGATAAAGAAAGAGAAGAAAAGATAAAGAAAGAAAGAGAAGAAAAGATAAAGAAAGAAAGAAGAAAAGATAAAGAAAGAAAGAAGAAAAGATAAAGAAAGAAAGAAGAAAAGATGAAGGAGAAAGAAAGAGAAGGAAAGATGAAGGAGAAAGAAAGGGAAGGAAATCTGGAGAAAGAAATAGAAGGAAAGATAAAGAAAGAGAAAGAAAAGATGGGGAAAGAAAAGGAAGGAAAGATGGAGGAGAACGAAAACGAAGGAAAAATGAAGAAAGAAAGAGAAGGAAAGGTGAAGAAAGAAAGAGAAGGAAAGATGAAGAAAGAAAGAAAAGATGGAAATATGGAGGTGAAAGAAAGGGAAGAAAATATGGAGGAGAAAGAAAGGGAAGGAAAGATGAAGAAAGAACAAGAAGGAAAAATGAAGAAAGAAAGAAGATGGAGAAAGAAGGAAAGAGGAAGAAAGAAGAGATGAAGAAAGAACAAGGAGAAAAGATGGAGAAAGAAAGAAGAAAAGATGGAGGAGAAAGAAATAGAAGGAAAGATGTAGAAAGAATGAGAAGTAAAGATGAAGTAAGAGGAGGAAAGATGGAGAAAAAAAGAGAAGAAAAGATGTTGAAAGAAAGTAAGAGAAGAAAAGATGGCAAAAGAAAGTAAGAAAAGGAAAGATGGAGAAAGAAGATGAAGAAGAAAAGAAAGACAAAGAAAGGCGATGTCAAAAGAAAGAGAAAGAACGATTGGGAAAGAAAGAGGAGGAAAGATAAAGAAGAAAAGAAACAAAGAAACAAAGATGGAGAAAGAAAGATGACAACAGAAAAAGTAATGAAGAAGATATCGAGAGGAAGAAAGAAGTTGGCAAAAATGAAGAATTGAATGATTTGTTTTTTTTTGTTTGTTTTTTTTATGGATGATCAACTCTTTGTGGTTCATTTAAAGCTGAAACATATTTTGCGGGCGGTTACTTACATTATCTGCACCACCCACATCTAAGAATTGACCAGGATCAACACTGCTTAATTTTGGTCATTAAATGGAAACCAGTAGTAAAAGTCTGTAATAAAATAAAGAGAATTGATAGAATGAAGAAGAAAGAAAAGGGTAAAAGGCAAGAGGATAATGAAAAGATGGTAATCTAAAAAAGAAATGTGTAAAAAAAAAAAAGAAGAAAAGCAAGAAGCTGATAAATGAGAAACAAAATCAAAATCTGAAAAAGAAAAATAAGAGTTGGATGGATAAAGAGAGAAAGAAAGAAAAACAAAAAGATAAGAAAAAGAAACAAAGAAAATGTGAGGGTAGTAGTAGTAGGAGAGGTAAAAATGATGAATTGGTCTTTGCCAAGGTTAACAAAGAGGTTAACAGCTTTTTGTTGCCACTACCTGAGCAGTCAAGGTATTAATGAAAGACTACTTTGCCCCTAAGTGGTCATTCGCCAACTGTTCTTTATCATGATAGACTGTGAATGAAGCATTTTGTCAAGGTGCTTAGCAAGAAGTCAGACAGAAGTGGGAAGTAAATTCATACCTTTCCTCAGGGTATTAGTGCAAAGGGAATATGTACAGTCTAGGCTAGAGTTTAAATTTCATTTACTGATTCTCTTTTTCATGCACAGATAACATTAAGCCAACCTTGACCTCTTTAAAAATATGGTGTTGATTTAAGAAAAGACTTAAAAAAAAAAGACAGCAAGAAAAAAATGCACAAGATGAATTAGTTTAAGAGTAAAGAACTAATAAATTGTAAAAAAAAAAAAAATGAAATGAGTAATGCTTAGAAGATATGAAGATTTTCAATAAATTTCTCTTGGCTCACTGCTGAATCTTAAAGACAGAAAGCATGTACAGAAAGAAATTATTTTGATGCCATAAAATTGGTAGTGAATAAATGACAAGCAAGAAGACAGATTGGCTTTCTGATCTTTTGGAATTAACTTAATCAATTTTAGATTCATCTTCTCTTTATGTTCGTACTCTTAATTTCAATGGTTTGTCTGGAAAGTTTTTGATTCCTTTTTTTCATTTCTATTTTCTTTATTCTCTCTTTCTTTCTTTATCTTCTCCTTCTAAAATTGCGATTCTTTCTTTCTATTCTCATTTTCTTTCTTTCATATCTTTCTTTTCTGCCTTTTCCCTTATTCATTTTTTTTAATCTTTTCTTTTGAAGTATCTGGTTTATTCTTTCTATTTTACTTTTCTTTTTCACTTTTTTTCTTTTAAATCTCTGGTTTCTTTTTGTCTTTTCTGTCCATTCCTATCTTTCTTCCTTTTTTTTGTTTTTCTTCTAAGTTTCTATTTCTTTCTTTCTTTTCTGTTTGTTCCTATTTTTTTTCTTTCTCAGTATCTGGTTCATTTTTCTTCTTTTTTTTCATTGCTCCTTTTTTCTTTCTTTTTTTTTTCTTCATCCTCTTTCATTTGCTTTACTTTTAAATGGTTATTTAGTTCTTCTTTTTATTCATTTTTTATTCTTAACACCAGACATGTCACTTATTCTTTTGTCTTTCTTTCATTCACACTTTTTCCTCTTTCTTTCATTCACACTTTTTCCTCTTTCTTTCATTCTCGCTCTTTTCCTCTTTCTTTCATTCTCGCTCTTTTTCTCTTTCTTTCATTCTCGCTCTTTTCCTCTTTCTTTCATTCTCGCTCTTTTCCTCTTTCTTTCATTCTCGCTCTTTTTCTCTTTCTTTCATTCTCGCTCTTTTTCTCTTTCTTTCATTCTCGCTCTTTTTCTCTTTCTTTCATTCTCGCTCTTTTTCTCTTTCTTTCATTCTCGCTCTTTTCCTCTTTCTTTCATTCTCGCTCTTTTTCTCTTTCTTTCATTCTCGCTCTTTTTCTCTTTCTTTCATTCTCGCTCTTTTTCTCTTTCTTTCATTCTCGCTCTTTTTCTCCTTCTCTCATTCTTACTCCTTCTCTTTTTTCTTTAAACATGATTAACTAAAAAGTGAAGAAAACATAATTAGTTGATAAAGTGTATGACTAATTAATGAATGTTAAAATAGGATTTATACTTTTATAGCTAGTTTTACTCCATCTTATTAATGTTGCTTTTTTAGAGCAACATTAATAAGATTAAGCATTTTCATTATTTATTACTAGTTTTATTCCATCTTATTATTGTTGCTTTTTGCCTGAAGCCTTTTCACTCATTTTATTAAAGTATTAAAAACAGACTTAAAAAGGTTACAAGAGGAAATCTTCAACTACAATAGTTGGCAATATGAAAAGATAAAAAAATCCTGTAGAATGAACTGTATTGCTTCTGATATCTAGCACTTTTAAAATCTACCTGAAGAGACAAACAAAACTGAAATAAGAAAGAAAACTTATATTGCAAAACATTTCGGTACTCTTTTCTTTTTCTAATGAAATTTTCCTGTTTCTTAATACTTTGCTTAGGTTATGGAAGGCATCTTTCACTATTCCAATGCACCTTCAGATTTCAGTGTCACATTTTCCATCATCTGTTAAAACACTTCCTAGATATTTAAATTTTTGTACTTTTTATTTGAGTCATTTCACCCGATGCAAGGCGATAATGGCCCTAGGATGCAGGGGGTTACAGAGACTAAAAGACAATGAGAAGACTTTAGTGAGGAGAAATGAGGAAAAGGACAATAAAGGAACAGGGTTCACAAAGACAGAAGATGGCAACTGACATTGCATTTAAATCTTTCAAGATTGCAGGTAACAGGGAAGCAAGAACTGTTAGAACTTGCTTGATTTTGGTGTTTCCAATTCATAGTCCATATTTTGGACTGTTCCTTTTGCTGACAGTCATATATTCTCTCTTTGTACATTTGATAGTTAGTCCTTTCTTCTCACTTTCCTTTACAATCTTTTCTAGGAGTTCCTGTAGTTTTCTTTGTTTACTATCAACACTGTGTCACCAGCATATCTAATGTTGTTAAGATTATGGGCACCAATAATGAATCCTGGTAGGACTTCTAATGCTTTTAGAATCAGCTCATTGTATAGTTTGAAAATCTCTGTTAAGAAGATTCATCATGGTCTTTCTATTACTGTAATTTCTCAAAGATAATATGCACCCATAAATAATACACACCCCAACAAATGATCCAAAAATTAAGAAATATATCTCTCCCTATATACAATAAGCATCTATAAATTTTGTCAAAGAAAAATAAAATAATGTCAAAGACATTTTGTTGACCGTGACATTAAGAATAGAATTGAAACTAAGCGGCTAAAATAATGTTTTACTGCTGGTGGCAACAGGAAAAAACCAGAGTTGGAATTTATTGCAAAATGGTTTCAGGAATCTTGGGATTCTGTGAGTGAGGATGTTATAAAAAGAGGTTTCAAGAAGTGTTGTTGCAAGACAGCCATGGATGTCTTTGAAGATGACATCCTCTGGCAAGAGTATGAAGAGGCCAAAGATAATTTTAAACAGGACGAAGATAATATTGTGAATGATAATTTGTTTAATAACGATTTAGATATTGATTCTATAATAGAAAGTTGTGATGAGGATAATTAATATTTCAATAAATTATTAACTTGATATCCTCTTTTCTTCAAAACTGGCCTTTTTATAGATTTTTTTTATTTTTTTGACAAATATAAAATGCAGATACTGATAAACATAAAATTTATTGACAAAAAATGTTACACTTATTATTGTTAGATTTAAAACTGAGATAATATCTTTTTTATTTTAGAATGACAAGTACGTATTCTAAATCAATATCGAAAATATATTTATATATAAACGAAGCCTATCTATAATACACACCCCCACTATCAACTGTTATTTACAGTAAAAAAATCTGTATTATTTTTGAGAAATTACGGTATTGTGTATTTACTGAATTCCTTTTCTTTTTCTGTTTTCTTAATATTGAACACATTGATTATGAAAATCTGCTCACCTTCAAACACGTTAAACTCCAGTAATTTACTGGACCATGTGTTTTGTTAAGCATTAACAATCGGTTATATATATATATATAGTGACCCATTGCTTGGTTGGCAGCATTGGCTAAGTAAATTAAATTACCCATGAAATGTAGATTGGGGTGTCATAATTGGTTTGGGGGGTAACTTAGGCCTGAATTCCCAAAACATTGGAAGACTGACTGCATCCAGATGGTGGGTAGTTACAGAAAAGAATCCCTACCTCTGCCACACACCGCCACTAAGAGAAAGCAAATATTTTAAAAAAAGTACAGTGCACTGTATTGACGCTATTTTTTAGCAAAACAAACACAGATGGAAACTTGAAGGCCCCTGGCCAGGTTGTGGGGGGAAGGGAAAATTATTTGGTTGATGGAAGGTCAGGATTCAGAGAGGGTAATCCATCTTTTTTTTTTTTTTTTTTTTTCTCTGCAAGTCTACTGATTGGTTGGAGATCTTCAACTTGTCACCAGAGATCCAGGCATAGAATACAATGTCCATGCTTTCATCTCTGTACAGACATATAGCACCTGACCTTTTATTCCTCACAAAAAAAAAAAACAGAAAAAAGTTAAAGACTTTGGGAATAAAAGAAGCAAACAAGATAAAAAAAAATTCCAATGGAGATAATTAGAAAACCAAAAACTTAGTTTTATAATACTAGTTTACCAATATGAGTGCAGTGGTTACAACATTTACTTTCTGAACATGAAACCCAGGTTCACATCTTGGCATGGGCATTTTGTTGGTTTATTCATTTTCTATATCTTAGCAACCATTTGCAGGTTATTTAAAGCCAGAAAATATTTTTAGTTTGTAAGAATATTTTTTATTTTTTGGAATAATAATGGTTTATAAATCATACTAATTAACCCATAGCTGTGGGGTGAATGGGCGGATTCATACCTTTCCCAGGCATATTTGCATGTAAGTAGATATAATAAATCCAACAGGAATTGAAATTCAGTTCTCCAATTATAAATTCCAAGCCATTACCTGTTACATCATCAGCACATCCAAGCATAGGAAAGCTGGTATTCCCAAGTGGTCACCCATCTAGATAATGACCAGGCTCAACATTGCTTAACTTTAGTCACCATACAGGAAACTGTTTTTCCATGTGATGTGGCTATAAGCTTTGTAAATTTGTTCATTGAGATGACTTTTTGATGTTGTTGCCCAGGGAAGTCAATTTCAGTGCCTCTTTGGACAATTCCTGAAAACCTTGCCATGAGTTGAACCAAGCCTTGTGTGTGGAATTTGATAGACAGAACTGCTTGGAAGTTGTCAAATTGTTGTGCTAGCATAAAGTCACAAGTCATCATGATCAAGCTTTTGAGCATATTGGTCTTGTTCAAGAAATTGATCACATCACGCACTCTCCACCAGCAACTGTAACTAAGATCTGCTCAGCATAGTTTCAGTATATAGCATGCGGATTTAACAGGTATCTGTAATGGCATTTGACTAGCTGCCCTGTGAGATGGCAGTGCTTGGTAATGAGTAGTCAGCTAGCCATTTGTTTTGATTTACTGATACTGTTAAAAAATGACATGAGCTAAAAATACAAATTACAAATCAAAAATACCAAAATCAACCCAGCGTAAAAATTTAAGTATCTGGGAATTATTTTAACAGAGGACGGAAAGTGTAAAACTGAAATCTGAAAATGCATTCAGATAGCCAAAAACTCATTCCAAAAACTATGAGTATTAAGACAGAAAAACTTTATTAGAAACAAAGAAAAGACTACTGAACTGTTACATGATATCTATCCTACTATATGGCAGTGAATGCTAAGCAATTACCTTAAAGATGAAGAAGAGACTTGAAGCAACAGAAATGTGGTTCTACAGAAAGATGCTGAGGATACATTCTAGCCACTGTGCCCTCAGTCCATCTTCAGATGATTATTAATCTAGGTTTGTGGAATTTCAAACTAGACCCTTTATTTAATTTATGGGGTTATATTGTTCTCATTCCACTATCCATGTCTAGGGATACTGCTTAGTTATTACTCACCCTGTTTCCAATGCAAGGATTGAACTCAAAACTACTGTTACCAAATTCACATACTAAGAAAGTATCTCTATAGATTAAATAAAGAGATCAGTTCAAAATTCTCTAAAAATTACCCAAATTGACAAGTACCTGATGAAGGCCAGAGAGCTCAATGGCTGAAACATTGTGATAATAACAACAAAGATAAGGACAATAGTCCAAGAGAAAATATTGAAAACTCCTCCAGAAATTCAAAGACACCTGAAGAAGGCCGGAGAGTATAATGGAAAAGTATTGTGATTATTACAAAGATGAGGATATTAGTTTAAGTGAAAGCAATGATACTTCTTTATCACTGAAGCAATGTCAAGCTTGGTCAGTACCTAGATGGGTAACCACTGTAAGCTTGGAAGTACAGGTGATGGAATGGATAACAGCTCAGAATTGGAAATTGGAGAACTGAGTTCCAATTCCAGTTGGGTTTGTTAGATTCACTTTTGCACAAAAACCCTTGGTTAAGGTATGAATCCACCACTTCTCCCCCAACTATGGGTTAATTAGTAGGAGTTGTATCAGTAAATAATTATTAACTCCAAAAACTTCTTACAATCTAAAAATGTTTTCTGGCTTTAAATAAACCTCAAAAGGTTGGTAAGCCATAAAAAACAAATCAGTCAATCTTCATCCTGAAAATTCAAACAGAAATTATCAAGTGATGCTCATACTCAGAAACAAAGAGGAAGCTGTATGAAAATATGATAGCTGTAACTTGATTCACTCTTTCTCTTTCTTTCATTCTCACTCTTTTTCTCCTTCTTTCATTCTCACTCTTTTTCTCCTTCTTTCATTCTCACTCTTTTTCTCCTTCTTTCATTCTCACTCATTTTCTCCTTCTTTCATTCTCACTCTTTTTCTCCTTCTTTCATTCTCACTCTTTTTCTCCTTCTTTCATTCTCACTCATTTTCTCCTTCTTTCATTCTCACTCTTTAGATTAGAAGTAATGCCAATGCTTGATTTTGGCTCAAATTTAATCAGTGCAAATGTAGCGTCTTAGTCCAGTTAGGGACTAAATTCACACCTATAGATAATTGCTCCTGAAACTACATGCCTAATTAGACCGACCTACCTACCTATGATATGCATACCATTTTCTTTATGATGTGCAATGATATGAGGCAACATTTCATGAGATAGCCTGATTGACTATTACTATTGAATAGTGAGTTCAATCCACACTGAGCGCTCCATTCTTATGGCCTTGTGCCGAACTAAGCTAAATTCTGTAAAAAAAAAAGGTGCATTGAGGCTTGCAGGAATCATTAGTGATTATAGACCATTAATGCTTAGTCATGAATTTGATCTTCACTGAGTGTTCCATTCTTATGACCTTGTGCCAAACTAAGATAAATTCTGTAAAAAGCACATTGAGGAATGGGGTAATGTTTAGTGATTCTAGACCATTAATACTGAGTCCTAAAACATATACTTAGCTGAGTTTGGCATAAGGCCACAATAATGAAGCACCCAGTAAATATTCAAAGCTGTTACATTTTGTAAGTTTAAACTATTTCAAAAAGAAAATTGAGATTAAATTAAAGCAACTAATTTTTAAGGCTTTTGATTGTCAACATCAAAAAAAGTTCAAATTTTAAAAGTAGGCATTTTCTTCTTAAATGCAGTGATTCATCTCAAAGTTGAAAAAAATTATTAAAATATATTTTTATTTTCAATTCTTTATCACAAGCAGAATTTCTGTTTCAATTTTTAGAAAAATTATTTCTAATTGTTTCTATAATTTACTTCATCATTCTGTTGAGTTCTTGTAATAAATTTTCCCAAATAATTTCATTTTCTTTGTTTTCCCAGAATGTGAAAATTATATTCTTTTTTATTTTTACTTTTTTAATTCAGCACCAGAAACTGACTTTTTTTTTCTATCTTTCTTTACTTCTCTCTCTCTCTACACTTCTTTCTCTTTCTCTACTTCTCTTTTTCTCTCTTTCTCTCTCTCTCTTTCTCTACTTCTTTCAGTTTCTCTGCATCTCCATCTCTCTCTCTCTACTTCTTTCACTCACTACCTCTTTCTTTCTCTACTTTTCTCTCTCTCTTTCTTTCCCTATTTTTCTCTTTCTTTCCCTACTTTTCTTTCTCTTTCTTTCCCTACTTTTCTTTCTCTTTCTTTCCCTATTTTTCTTTCTCTCTTTCTTTCTCATCTTTTCTCTCTCTCTTTCTTTCTTTTTCTCTTTCTCTCTTTCTTTCTCTCTCTTTTCTTTTCTCTCTCTCTTTCTTTTCTTTTCTCTCTTTCTTTCTTTTCTCTCTTTTTTTTCTTTCTCTCTTTCTTTCTCTTTCTCTCTCTCTTTTCTTTTCTTTTCTCTCTCTCTTTCTTTTCTCTTTTCTTTCTTTCTCTTTCTTTCTCTCTTTTTCTCTCTCTCTTTTCTTTCTCTTTTTCTCTCTCTCTTATTCTTTCTCTTTTTCTCTCTCTCTTATTCTTTCTCTACTTTTCTCTCTCTCTCTTTCTTTCTCTACTTTTCTCTCTCTCTCTTTCTTTCTCTACTTTTCTCTCTCTCTCTTTCTTTCTCTACTTTTTTCTCTACTTCTCTCTCTCTCGCTATCTCTAATTCTCCCTCAATTTCTCTACTCTCTTTCTCTCACTCACTACTTCTCTCTCTTCACATCCCACTCTCCCACCTTTTAATTCTGGGAATTGATTTTTATGTGTAAAATTCTCATCAGCTTGTTTGGCCATGTAAACATTAAAAATACGCTAAGCTCATTTTAATATTCTATTAATTACATAATTATTTTCTTCATTTTCTTTGTTGCTATGCCAACAGCATACAGAATAGGAAGAATATGCAAAGATATGTATTAAAAAAAATCCATGCAAAATATACATACAACTAAAACAAAAAAGAAATTTACATTGGAATTGACAAAGTTTCCAATTCAAATTTATTTCATGCCAATCTACGAAGAATTAATGAATAAGGACTTCATTTTTGGAAGCTTTTTTCAAATAATGCCTTGTCAGCATGATTCACTTGCAAATGCAGAGTACATGTTTCCCCACCAGGTTTCATTTTTAAAATAAAGGCTCTTCACATCCCAAAAGGGGACATTGAAACTCCCAAAATTTTTAATTTTGTTTCATGGGAATTGATTTTTCCATTTAAGCAAGTCAGACATTTAAAAAAATTTTCAAAGTGTAAAATATATTTTTAATTCATCAGCTTGTTTTTGGCCATGTAAAAAGAAATACATTAAAAATACGTTTTTTGTAGAAATGCTAAGCTCATTTTAATATTCTATTAATTACATAATTATTTTCTTCATTTTCTTTGTTGCTATGCCAACAGCATAAAAGCAGAATAGATGAAGAATATGCAAAATGATATGTATTAAAAAATCCATGCAAAATATACATATGGCAACTAAAACAAAAAAAAGATGAAATTTAAATTGAATTGACAAAGCTTTCCAATTCAAATTTATTTCATGCCAATCTACGAAGAATTAATGAATAAGGAATTCATTTTTTCATCTAAGAAGGCTTTTTTTAGCAAATAATTCCTTGTCAGGATGATTCAATTGCAAATGCAGAATAATTGATGTTTCATCCAACCAGGTTTCATTTTTTAAAATAAAGGCATTCTTCATGGATGGTTGATTGAAGGAAAGAATACTAATGAAAAATGAAAAGGGGGGACATTGAAACTGTGTTGAAAATACAGGACTGACAAAAAGAAATGCCAATGTTTGTTTCATGACATGGCGAAGAGAAAGAAAAATTATTTATGAAAAATAAGATGAGAAAATTTCCATTTAAGCAAGTCAGACATTTAAAAAAATTTTCAAAGATCAGTTTGAATCTCATTGGATATATTTTTTTAATTCCAATCCATCTTGCATGTTTAGAATGACTGAAAGGTTTGGTAAACAGTAAGAGGAAGATGATGAAAGAAATACTAATGAAAGATTAATAAGAATTGTTACTGTTTTTTGTAGAAATGCCTAACTTCTTACATAGGAATTGCAATAAAAAGCAAGAGAAATGAAGATGAAAGAAATACTAGTGAAAATGAATAATAATTGACCATATAACTATAAATTTAGCCACATAGCTATATTCTCTACTTCTACTTCTTACGGATAGGAATTGCAATAAAAAGCAAGAGAAATGAAGATGAAAGAAATACTAGTGAAAAATGAATAATAATTGACAATGCTTCATCTAAGAAGGCTAACCAGCAGGAGTCATTCAAATTTAGCCATATAGCTATATTCTCTACTTCTACTTCTTATGGATGGCAGTTGCAATAAAAAGCAAGAGAAATGAAGATGAAAGAAATACTAATGAAAAATGAATAATAATTGACAATGCTTCATCTAAGAAGGCTAACCAGCAGGAGTCATTCAAATTTAGCCATATAGCTATATTCTCTACTTCTACTTCTTACGGATAGGAATTGCAATAAAAAGCAAGAGAAATGAAGATGAAAGAAATACTAGTGAAAAATGAATAATAATTGACAATTCTAAGAAGGCTAACCAAATTCATTCAAATTTAGCCACATAGCCTCTACATAGCAATATCATTCAAATTTAGCCACATTATATTCTCTACTTCTACTTCTTATGGATGGCAGTTGCAATAAAAAGCAAGAGAAATGAAGATGAAAAGAAATACTAATGAAAAATGAATAATAATTGACAATGCTTCATCTAAGAAGGCTAACCAGCAGGAGTCATTCAAATTTAGCCATATATTCTATATTCTCTACTTCTGGATGGCTTCTTATGGATGGCAAGTTGCAATAAAAAGCAAGAAGAAAAATGAAGATGAAAGAAATACTAATGAAAAATGAATAATAATTGACAATGCTTCATCTAAGAAGGCTAACCAGCAGGAGTCATTCAAATTTAGCCATATAGCTATATTCTCTACTTCTACTTCTTATGGATGAGAGTTGCAATAAAAAGAAGAAAATGAAGATGAAAGAAATACTAATGAAAAAATGAATAATAATTGACAATGCTTCATCTAAGAAGGCTAACCAGCAGGAGTCATTCAAATTTAGCCACATAGCTATATTCTCTACTTCTACTTCTTATGAATGGCAGTTGCAATAAAAAGCAAGAGAAATGAAGATGAAAAAATACTAATGAAAAATGAATAATAATTGACAATGCTTCATCTAAGAAGGCTAACCAGCAGGAGTCATTCAAATTTAGCCATATAGCTATATTCTCTACTTCTACTTCTTATGGATGGCAGTTGCAATAAAAAGCAAGAGAAAAAGAAATGAAGATGAAAGAAATACTAATGAAAAATGAATAATAATTGACAATGCTTCATTCATCTAAGAATTCAAATTTAGCCACATAGCTATATTCTAACTACTTCTTATGGATGGCAGTTGCAATAAAAAAACAAGAGAAATGAAGATGAAAAAAATCATTCAAATTTATCTAAGCCATATAGCTATATTCTCTACTTCTATTCTTACGGATAGGAATTGCAATAAAAAGCAAGAGAAATGAAGATGAAAGAAATACTAGTGAAAAAATGAATAATAATTGACAATATCGGATAGGAATTGCAATAAAAAGCAAGAGAAATGAAGATGAAATGAAATACTAATGAAAAATGAATAATAATTGACAATGCTTCATCTAAGAAGGCATTCAACCAGCAGGATAGTTGCATTCAAAAAATTTAATTGACAATGCTTCATCTATAGCTCATTCAAATTTAGCCATATAGCTTCTACTTCTTATGGATGGCAGTTGCAATAAAAAAAGCAAGAAGAAAATGAAGATGAAAGAAATACTAGTGAAAAATGAATAATAATTGACAATGCTTCATCTAAGAAGGCTAACCAGCAGAAAGTCATTCAAATTTAGCCATATAGCTATATTCTCTATTCTACTTCTTATGGATGATCAATAAAAAGCAAGAGAAATGAAGATGAAAGAAATACTAGTGAAAAAATGAATAATAATTGACAATGCTTCATCTAAGAAGGCTAACCAGCAGGAGTCATTCAAATTTAGATAGCTATATTCTCTACTTCTACTTTTATGGATGATAGTTGCAATAAAAAGCAAGAGAAATGAAGATGAAAGAAATACTAGTGAAAATGAATAATAATTGAAAGAATCTATAAACAGCAGGAGTATTCAAATTTAGCCATATAGAAAATGAATTGCAATAAAAAGCAAGAGAAATGAAGATGAAAGAAATACTAAAAATGAATAATTCATCTAAGAAGGCTAACATTCAAATTTAGCCATATAGCTATATTCTCTACTTCTACTTCTTATGGATGATAGTTGCAATAAAAAAGCAAGAGAAATGAAGATGAAAAAAATACTATTGAATAATAATTGACAAATTCATCTAAGAAGGCCAGGATAGCTATATAGCTTATCTCTATTTCTACTTCTTATGGATGGCAGTTGCAATAAAAAAGCAAGAGAAATGAAGATGAAAGAAATACTAAAAAGTGAATAATAATTGACAAGAGAAATGAAGATTCAAATTTAGAATAGAAATACTAATAAAAATCAAGTGAAAAATGAAAAATGAATAATTGACAATGCTTCATCTAAGAAGGCTAACCAGCAGAAATCATTCAAATTTAGTGTTGTTTTAATTTACCATCTCAGTCAAAGATAAAATATGACTGATCCTGTCCAAAAGAATTCTTCACCTTTTTTCATTTATTTATGAAGATAATACATTATCTTCTCACATTAGTAGTCATAGAATAATTGTACTTGTCTCTCCCTTTCTTCATTCACACAACTGTTATGCCTTGGCAATACCTCATAAATAATGGACTCTTCTGTTTTAATTCCGTAGAAAGAGAGGAAAAGACACTACTTGGTTTCAGTGAGAAAATGAAAGAAAGCAAGAAGTGAAGATAGAAGTGTTTAATGTCTGTTTCAGTGAATTAAAAAAAAAGTTGTCCATTTCAAATCTTTTCATTTGTACCCATTTCTTAAAATAATGAGCATCATTCATATTTATGATTGCTATTGCAATATTTTGTTAAAGTTGTTAAGCTCAAATATTTACTGATGTGATAATGGAATTTCTACAGATATTTTATTGTTGTGGAACTTTCCATAAGCTTATAGAATCATTAACTTAAGAATTAAGAATCATCATAAAATTCAAATAAGTAAACTGTGAAATTTTTATGGGTATTGTATAAAATATTTTTATTGTTATTATTATTATTGCAATACTTAGAAAATTAAAGATTAAAGAAACAAAAAGAAAACACAGTTTAAAGAAAGAAGTGGAGAGAGATAATCAGATTAAGAACAGATATTACACTTTGATCTTAGAGAAGAGAGGGGAAACTGACAAGCACAATTAGGGTGATTGTTTTTGCAATATTTTGTTAAAGTTGTTAAGCTCAAATATTTAACAATATGATAGGGGAATTTCTACAGATATCTTGTAGAACTTGCCACATTGCTTATTCAGTCAGTAAATAAAGAATTAAAATTCATAAGAAAATTCAAATAGGAAAACTGAAATATTCATGGGTCTTTCTAGTTGAACAAATTCCTATCAATTGCTTTCAAGATAAGCATTGTTCTATTT